CAACTGTCACGAAATTAATTTACTAGAGTGCCTGCGTGAATTCAGCCTTTCTTCCCCTCTGATATCGTCAGTGCTTTCAGACTTGTTTGGGAAAATAGCAGCACTGGATTGGATACGTTGATGGACTACCGTATGTCACTGTTTGGAGCAAATATGAAATCAATGACCTCTACGATGCAGTGGATCTGAAAAGACAATGATCAACGACAAAAGCTCATTCCTGTGTCCTCTGTGATCTCTACGCGCAACTTCGACTTCTCTTCGGATGTTATACACCTGCTACTTTCAGCATGGCATGGTACCGAATTGTCCCATAATTTTCTCCACATTTCGACACTTTTGTTAAACCAGTCGTTATTTATTAAAAAAAAAGAGAAATCAAACAACATCATCTCACTGTCATAATCAGTGATATGCAACCATTTGCTGGGCAAGGATTGGATGCCTTCCTCGCAGAAAGAATGGGGCTGGCGATCAAATAATCAGTGACGTCGCTGAAGTGCTGATTGTAGTCCTTAGAGTTTTGGCCCTCAGAATTTGCTTCAGTGTGCGCAAGAGGTTTTAGTCCAGTGGAGCAATATTAGGGCTACGCGGTCGATTTGGTACCGTGGTCTAGCCAAGTTTCTCTACGGTATGGCGTGTCGGCATTCCAATGTGAGTTCAAATCTGTCCTATGGAAGGGCGACACAAAGTCGTTTTGGACACTTTTCTCCCACGCGACTAACTTCCCTTAGTTGTTCCCCTTAGATGTTGACATTCAATGTGCTTGTTGTCAAGCAGTCCCCAAAACAGCATGCTTTGTCATTCCCATAAACAAGAGCACAGTCTTGCGAGTATGGAACTTGAGCTTTGATTGAGATCATGAGTCTTCGCCGCAAGGCACTCAGTGTTCTTGGCGCATGTTATTCTCGCAGCAGACCCAGAAATCATCTCCAATGTGATCGAATGAGAAAGTCGTGCTTGTGCGTCGCAGCTGAAGACTTTTGCAGATGTCCATCGGGGCACCATTTCGCTGCAGCTCATTTCAGTTAGGTGGTGTGCGATGGCTCTATGGCAGTATCCAATGTTTGGCTTGAGCTACTAGAGCATTCTTCAACATAATGCGCCTTTTGACAATAACCCAATTTGAAATATTAGGTCGTTCTATAAGTTTTTGCACCAGAGCAATGAGCGCCAAGTTTTTTTAACCAGAAGTGCCTAAATTTGCTCGGTTTTGGTGCCGTTCAATTGCCCATTCTCTTGCGAACATTTTGATATACAACTTGCCTTACTTGCTTCAAGATGGAGCTGTCTTCGCAAGAAATTTGCTTGCTACCCCTACAGGAATAGCGTGTAGGGAACATGCTAGTAAAGTGGTGTGCAAAATTAATGGAACTTCTTGTGAACGGCTTGACCTCGACTGATCCCACAGACTGTTCTCTCCAGCTTCAAATTTCGCATTTCACTTCTTAGCCGTTATTTTTGCAGCCGTATCATGACCTCCTGCTCCATCAATAATCGCGCGCCGCTTCACTAGGATTATCCTCTACGTGCCATTCGTGCATGACTAGCAAGCGAATTTATTCCCAAGACAGCTTCATCTTGAAACAAGTATAGGGAAATCGTGTACCAGAATGTTTGCGAGAAAATGCGCAATTGAACGATACCAAAATCGTGCAATTTTAATTACTTCTGGCTTGCAAATTCAGTGTTTATTGCTCTAGTACCAAAACTTATAAAGAGACTCCATAGAATAGAATGATTTAAACAATAGTGCAAATGAAACTGTGGTCAATCCAATGATTTGGTGACTTTTGGCCTTGTGCTTTGGATGATATGCTACGACCGTCGAAGTTCGAGTACATTCTCGGAAAACAACTCCTCATCGATCGACATACACAAGAATTACACGCGTGGAATCCAAATGATCGGTCGATATTAATTAGTTACAGTAACGAACTCTGAATTAAAACATTATAGTGACGTTCTCGTAAGTGGATATTTCAGTACGTCGAATATTTTTGTTAGAGACGACGATTGTCTCACATTTCACAGAAATCCGGTGGAACAGAGTATTGATGGTATGCGTGGAAAGGTTAGTTACTTCTGTTATGACTTTACCTAGATCTTCACCAAGTAGTCATGAATGGATTTGAATTTATGCGATAAACTTTCATGGACTGTGTACATTTCGACACAATGGCACTTATTTGAGTTCACTATCGTTTGAACAAATAGGGCTCTTGAGCTATGTGATGCATTTTTTGTGATTATCCTCTCCTCAGAATCTCCATGTTGGCATTAGTTGTTTCGTTTTTACTTGTATATTTTTCATTGACAGTATCTATGAGGTTTTTAGACCCCATGCGCACACTCGTGACCTTATGCATTGACTTCAGCGTATTTGCTCTTAGAAGTTATATCGCATCCCATCATTAGGTCATCATGATCCAGCTTACAACGAGATGTGTCTATTAAAGTAAGAGCCAAAGAGATATGATTGACTTAGGCACTTCACCTAGAGCAACGTACAAGTTTACTTACCCTATTAATAGCTTCTTTCTTCTGTGTTCTTTGTTTTAATTCTTGCTTTTCAATTGCATATATCCTATAGTTGTAGCTTTCCTATTAGAAGTAAACTATTTCTGCCTTCTTCGACTTTACTTTTTTGTTAGAAATGACTAGCATTCTTTTTCATTCATTGCGCTTTGCCTTCTGTAGTACTTTAGTAGAACAAATATTTTTCTCCTGCTGATTAGGGATTTTGTCTTTTTTATGTAGTCCTAATGTGCTGATCTAGGCAACTTTTTCACAAACTCGAAGGTATTAGAGTTGAGACGTTCCCAGTCGTTCACTCAGATAATGGAAGCAAGAGAATGTTGAGATAGGGGATCGAAACAGGGTATCGCCTAACATCTTGCCTTCCGACACTGTTCATTAACCACTACGCTTCTCTATGTCCTGCATTCATGTTTTCTTTTATCATCATGCATGGGCCACTAAGCTACTGCAGCTGTGAGAGCTTACAGCTGCGCTGTCTTCGTACATTTGTGTAATACCGTAAGGGGGGTTGGTCTATCCATTCTAGGAATGGAGCAGACCACGATGTGATAGGCACTGACAGTGCTGCTGATCTGTGTCGAAAACAAAAGCGATTCCACTATCGGTTTTTTTTTATTGACTTAGTCTTATTCTTACGCTTTCTAATAGTTGTATTTGTTGTCGTTTTATGTCCGTGAAAGATGTGAAAATAAGTAGTCCACTAACTTAAAGGAATCACATGAGGGACGCTAGTTGATTTTACGCACGACTTTCAGTTTGCAAAATTTCTGTCTTTTTCCTTTAGGATTTCGGTGCATTTATATGTAACGAAAAAGGCTATGTTTTCATTGTCATTTTAGGGCAAAGAGTGTGAGTTCTGTGAAAAACTCTGATTCTTATGGGAAATTTATGGCATATATATACTCGAATATCCCTTTAGTGGCGAAGGATAGTAGGAAGTATTTACAGTAATGATTTTGTTTTATTTATTTGCTTTTTCCTCTTATTGTGTGCTAGACAAAAGGTAAATGGAAGTTTTACGGTTGGAAAGAATGTTTTGGAGCACTTTATAAGCATACAGTTTCTTATATGGGATACTCTTGAGGGCCTAGATATTATTCGTCCTTCTTTTTCACTTTGTTGAAAGCCTCCTCCATGTCCTACGATACAATTGAAGTTCATGATTTATTGCGTCATTATTGAAGAAACTGTCTTCCACAACAAGCTGCAATCGATGCAATCATCAAAGTCTACGGGAAGGCATAATAAGCGAATCTGCTGCTGAACGTCGATTCCAACGCTTCTTAATGCCGGAGATCTTAACCCCGAGGACAAACCTCGTTCAGAGCGTCCGAATTTGAATAGCTCGATGAAGTTGAAAAAGCATGTCAAAAGTTTTTTGATTTGAAGCGGAAGAAATGATAGTTCATTCAGATCCCGAGACTTGAAGGACCGATGGCAGAATGTCGTAGAAAACGATGATCTTTATTTATTGTAGAATAGTTCTTATTGTTCTTGTTTGAAATTCTTATATATATACATACATATATAATATATATATGTATACATATAAATACAATTTCCGAATTCTTACAAGTGCCCCACAACTTCCTTCCCAACCTCATATGACAAAAATTTTCGAAGGTTCTCTTTTATTACCTTCCTTTTGCTTTTTTCATAAAAGTCTTCCCAATTTTTTCAAATTTCAGATGGGACACACAAAGGGCTTTCACGTTTGTCAAATGGAATGGCCACAACGGCAACGAGGAACATATCCAGTAGTTGGTGTGGCAACGAAGGCTGCTGCACTTCAAACGACGGGTCATACGTCATTAATAGGAACGAATACCGAAAGCTATTGATGGGATTTGAGTCAGAGGTTTGTTATCGAACTGATATATTGAAAGACGGTGTCGAATACGAACAAATCTTGGAGCTGATACATAACAACTATTTTGATTACTTGATTATCAAGGACTTATCTCTTTTGACCGACGCGAGGTCAATAGTTGTATCAGTAGTAGAAGTAGTTGATGATGTGAATGTTAAATCATTACAAATAGCAGTACAAATCGTAGCAGTTTTATCTTCAAGGTGGAGCAATTTGAGTTCTAAGCTAGGGTCAGACACCAGCGTTTTCCGCTGTTTTGCTATGCAATAAATTGCATTTCTGACTGTCCCAATCAGACTGGCTAATCACTTCTTGCGCCTTAAAAACCATACTTGGCTAGAGTAGCTGAGACAGTCATACTTACCACTGGTGTGGATTATCGAGATACCCCTAGCTCAATTATCGTGGCATAGTCATCCCTTACGGGAAATATTTCAACCTTTTACATCGTATCCTTTTTCTTTCGAAGTGAAGGAGAAACAAAGAAAAAATAGCATTTCTTGTTCTACAACGAATCCAGTGAATAAAGTTGAATGACCCAAAATGGCTCACTTGGAGAAGTCATCAGAAATAGCTATGTGAAAGACGAGCGTCGGTAGTGCATTAGTTCAGCACGCGCTCTCGGAAAGAGTGAGATCTGGGTTCGAATCCCGATTGACGCAAGTGTTTTTGCACACCACTCTACATTATTGAGTTTATTCTAGAATCATACGTTTTATAATGTTGTAGCACTTAGTCTAATTATGCTTCACACACTCCTTTCTCCTTCATTTTTTTCACGCGTATAATTTGCTGGAAGCCAAAAAGCATTTCAATGTGTAGAGAGACTTTTGTAGTATCTTAAGCACTCGTTTCATCCGGAGTTTCTTCAAGAAGGAAAAATTCCCGATTGAATAACAAAATATCGACCGCCCCACCTCGCTCCGCCTTGTCGAATGGTTTGTAAACGAACATGCCAAAAATGTAAAAGTGGATCTTCTCTTTCGTGTTAAACCACTTCTCCAGAAAATCGGCAAATCGGTAGAAAAGAAACAGTACGCTATCAGATGATTACTAATATTGTAAAAAAAGCGTTCTCTCCAGCAATGCTTCAAGCATGAATCAAAGACCAGAGGAGTTCAAGAGATTGAAAGAGCTTTCCACAAACACATTTTTGAGTTCTTTGAAGCTTGTGCTAGAGTTTGCGTACTACCACTCTGAGAAAGGAGTTTTGTCCAACGAAATATAAGCAGGACAAGAGAACATTCGTGGTGTCATGGAACATGATTTTATCTTAAATGTTACAGCGTTCTATTGGGGGTGATTCAAGAGCGATGACGTGGGGCTGTAGCTTCAAGTCTCAGCTTTTGATAGGTTACTTAGATTCTTGTGAAGAGTTCTCCTCCAGCGAATAAGATCGGTTAGCTGCGTCAATCACTCACGTGGAGAAATATTGATTTATCTCGCCGAGGTTTGAATGGAGTAATATTTTGAGCTTCTTAATAGCCTGGAAAAATGGCAAAAAGGTACTTGGATTCAGGTCACCTATGAAGGCTTTTTTCTTATATCACTAAACCACTGCGTAGTTCTCGTATTCGATCAAACTTATTACAGTTCTACTGTATTCTAGACATGGACGACGGTTACATGGCGATTGCCACCGATGAGCACTATGTGGGTGTTGTGTTCCAGAATCTTCAAGGACGAACGTTGTATCCGATAGTGTCTGCTGCTTGGGGACATTGTGAAGTGACAATAAAATACCTAGGCGGAATCGAGCGTGAGCGACCAAAATTTGAGCCATTACCGTTCTCACCAATTCTTCGTAATTTCCTTTCACCATAGACGATTTTTTCACCTGATGGGCAGACTGGTAGTATATCTGTCAAGCAATCTGATGAAATCAACGAACTAGGGATACCATTTGATCCATCATCACCTGCTAGCTTTTTACTACCACCACCATCTCGCGTGCGTTACCATCCCTCAGTTAAAACGATGCCCCTCATCGAGTACAAGTACCTTTGGCCGACTGATTTCGATGATTGAAACTGTATAACCATCAACTTGACTGGTATGGTGGTTGCTGTGTGTCTTATCAATAACGACGAAGTATGTGCAGTATATACATATATATACATATATAATGCGTATGTGCAGATCGGGGCGAGCAATGGCCGTACCCCATTATTTCCATGAGTATGCACCACCGTGTTGAAAGTTTTATCGTCGTGGATTGAATGAGGTGAGTGAATTTTGCTGTAATAGTAAAGATTGTAATTTCTTGACCTCTCACAAGTTATTATCGTGGGGCCTTTCCACAAACCAAGTGCAGTATCAATATCGCGGTTTCTCAAGCTATAAGTGGATGTGAAAAGTCCAGTGAAAATGTTTTGTCCAGCAAATGAGGCTTCTAGATACGCGTGCATTGTGTAGTGTACAACGCCGTCCTCAAAGGGTAACCTAGGTACAACTTCAATGTAGTACGAATGGTCCTGGTGTTTATAGCAAAACAAATGACGCTTTTGCACGACTTTTGTAATTGCATAGTGCTAATGGTTAATTAACTGTGGTGTGATTGCGGTAATTTTCAGCTTCTCCACGACCATTAATGGATACCTGTCGACGAACAATTCGTGTTGAAATGGGACGTCATCGTTTGCATCGAGTTGGTGAGTTATTACTAACACCCCCATTGAAACATTTTAATCTATATCAAAAAGAGTCGTCGTAGGGATTTATGTTTTTTCTCTACCGATTTTGTTCGGATTTGGTCAAGCTTTTTGTGAGGATATTCCATTTATGCCTTCCGTTGCCACATGATTTTGTATGTTTGAAATCAGTGCATTTTCTACCTATCTACATGTTCACGTCCCCCCCCCCCCCCACATTATCATTAGTGTCCTCACCTGTTGTTATCTCCTCAGTCTGCTTACGTATATCTGCACTTTTGTTTCATTTGATTGGTATTATTTTTCACATATATGTTTTGTAATTTCATTGCATGAGGACCGATAATATGTTTGTAATTTCGTATTTCTTGTGAATTGACGATAAAATCGTTTTGTTTCTGTCATTGGAATTGATCACTGTGCTCATCTGAGAAATACGGCTCGTCGTCAAACGGTAATTAAGTCTTCTCGACTATTCACTTTGGCTCATTGTCCTGCAATCACTATTTGGAATAGGAGGACATACAGAATGAGGGTTATGCTTGGTATTTTCTAGGATACAAAGATAGCTCTGCTTGATCAGAGGACATCATTGCACCCAATCGCAGACAACAATGAATTGTAGCAACGCTTGCTGCCTTTGCCATAGGGCTTTCCCATAGTAACAATTTTTGCAAGTGTTCATACGATTGAAGACTGAATGGCAGTCTAAGGTGGAAGTGAAAATAAACGACTTCTAAGGAAACATTCTAAAAACTGAGAGTCAGCTAGTGGAAAGTCAGAAAAACATGATGCTACATGTAGGATTACTTTTGAAACTGCAAGGAATTACTGCAAGTCTTTGCCATCAGTAGTATTGGAGTTCATGGGTTTCTATAGAGAAGGCTTAGTAAATTGCTTTTTGTAGTGAAAAAAATTCTGCGGAGAGAACGGTAAAAAATTGCTTACTGAACCAAACGAAACAACTGATTATACTTATAATTTAATCTGAAAGTCCTATCTTGAAAACTTATCCTATGAGATTGATAAGATCTTGATCCTAATGACCCATCAATTTTTCATCGGTTCAAGCTTTTCTTAATTCTCACAATAGCTTTATTTGATTCTTTTTTGCGCAATACAAGTTTTTATTTATGTGATTTAGGTCCAAGCTTTCGACGTTGATCATTCCTCGAAAGGCACGTCATGAATTCGACTCCGTTACGAATCATTCCAATTGACCGAATATATATAAAGCCTGTTACATGACTTGCGGTGGCATACCGATGCGTTAAATCAGTGCTGTTATCGTTCCATACAAGTCTGGTACGAATTTGCCAACCTTAGAGTTATGGAAGGATTGGCGAGGCAAAATCGCGGGGTTGAACCAACGGCCAGGTTTATGTTCAGTGTCAAGCCGCACAGGGTTTTGCACAAGAAAGGAATGTGACGAGCTCAAGTCAGAAAAAAATTAACGTGTGGTATGATGCGAGGTCAGGCGTGAT